GAGTCAAGACTGGCCTTAGGGCAGAAGTCACAACAGGGACCCCAGGAGCTTGTTATATAGATTCCTGGGGCACCTGGCTGGCTCAGTCTGTTAAGCGTCTGCCTTTGGCTCAGGTCAGGATCCCAGGGACCTGGGATCGAGTCCCACGTCAGGCTCCCTGCTCAGCGGGAAGCCTGCCTCTCCCTCTGCCTGCCATTCCCCCTGCTTGTGCTCTCTCTCAAATAAATAAATAAAATCTTAAAAAAAATAAAAAGAAATGAAATTCTGACACATGCTACAGCATGGATGAACCTTGAGAGCACTGTGCTAATGGAAATAAGCCAGTCACAAAGGGCCAATACTCCATGATCTCACTTACATAAGGTCCCTAGGGGAGTCAAATCCACAGGGACAGGTTAAGTGGTGGTTTCAGGGGCTGAGGGGAGAGGGAAATGGGGACTTAGTGTTTTGTAGGTACAAAGTTTCAGTTTGGGAAGATGAAAAGCTCTGGAGACGGACGGTGGTGATGGTTGTACAGCAGTGTGAATGTGCTTAATGCCCGTCAAATGTACACTTAATAAATGGTTAAAATGCTAAATTTCATGTTATGTGCATTTACTACAATAAGAAAAATCTCCATAGCTGTGTGACCTTAAGCAAGTTACTTCACCTCTCTGTGCCTCAGTTTCCTTATTATTATTATTATTTTTTTTTTAAAGATTTTATTTATTTATTTGAGAGAGAGAGAATGAGAAAGAGCGAGCACATGAGAGGGGGGAGGGTCAGAGGGAGAAGCAGACTCCCCGCCGAGCAGGGAGCCCGATGCGGGACTCGATCCAGGGACTCCAGGATCATGACCTGAGCCGAAGGCAGTCGCTTAACCAACTGAGCCACCCAGGCACCCCTCAGTTTCCTTATTATGACATGGGACTAATGATAGTGTTTACCTAAAAGGGCTGCAGGGAGGGTTAAAAGGGAAGGTGTGTCAAGGCTCTTAGCACAGGCGAATGCACGCTAAAAGGGCCTGTTGAGTGTTGGCGTAAGAGAGAAAACATCTCAAAGGTAGCCTGAGTTTTCCCAAAAAGTGAGAGCGTAATTCATGTCAGTTGTCACTCTACAGCGCTGCGGATGTGGGAGATGTGTCCTGAGCTCCAGTCACACGGAACAAGACTTTTTGTTTTAATTCCTGCTTGCAACTCATTTCGTTTCTTCTAGCAAATGCTAATGTGCCTGTCCTGAGCACATGGGACCAAATGAAATGGCATCTGGACAAAGTATTTGAATTCTCTTGGTCCCAGTATCCCCCCACAGGTGACATGAATTGGATGAGGTCAGTAGCCCCCCAACACTGGAGTCAAGACTGGCCTTAGGGCAGAAGTCACAACAGGGACCCCAGGAGCTTGTTATATAGATTCCTGGGGCACCTGGCTGGCTCAGTCTGTTAAGTGCCCAACTCTTGATTTCAGCTCAGGTCATGATCTCCTGGTTGTGAGATCGAGCTCCACATCGGGCTCTGCGTTCAGCTTGGAGTCTGCTTCAGGTTCTCTCTACCTCTCCCCCTCCCCCCCACTCACGTGCTCTCTTACTCTAAAATAAATAAATCTTTAAAAAAATATATACAGATTCCTGAGCCCCACTGCAGAGACCACTGGGGGGTAGAGGGCTAAAAATTTCAGACTCTCCCCAGGTGATTCTGATTAGGTGTTGGGTCCACCTAACCAGGAGGACCCCTTGGGGGTCTCCGGGGCTGTTCTCAACCTTGGCCATATCTGAAATCACCTGGGAAGCTCTGGAAAATACCTTTTACCAGGTTCCACGCCCCAGAGGCAGATTTAATTGGTCTTTGATAGGCCCCAGGCATAGGGATTTTAAGTGAGTGCCCAGGTGATTCTCCTGTGTAGTCAATTCTAGAACAGTGTGGTGCTCACCCTTGAGCATGCACCAGAGTCACCTGGAGGGCTTGCAAAGCCATAGATGGTGGGCCTCTCCCCCAGAGTTTCTGGTTCAGGGGGTCTGGGATGGGGCTCTAGAATATACATTTCTAACAAGTTCCCCGACGAGGCTGATGTTTCTGGATTGGAGAACACACCTGGAGAGCCACTATTCCAGAACCTTGCTACTCAAGGTGTGGCTTAGACCAGCAGCAGAGGCTTCACCTGGGAGCTTGTTAGAAACGCAGACCAGGGCCCACCTGGGGGTCTGCTGAGTCAGGGTCTGCAATGTGACCCAAGTGCACATTTGTGTTCGAGAAGCACTGTTTCAGAAACAACTCTGCTTTTGAAACTTCCTGCTCTCACTGTATTCTGGAGGGGCGAGATGAAGGGCAAGGCATCTTTTCTAGAGCGGGAGGCCGAGGGGGGAGGAATGCAGGCAGCTCAGCCTGGAGTGGGCAGGCCAGCATCAGCTCCCTGCCCCGAGCCACTTCGGTCCACGGCGCATGCTCCGGGCAGCCCGGGCAGGATTGATTACCTTGGCGTGATTGTAAATATCCACACAGTTGTCAGTGTTAATGCTCTTTGCGCAGATAATCTCACAGTGTCGCTGCAAAGCCTCCAGCTGGAAAAATTTAGCGGCAGACAGAAGCTAAAAATCATAAGAAGAGCCTGTTAGAGGTTGGGAGGTGGAAATAAAGGGAGGACAGTGGGGAAAATCCTCATTTTTCCACAGAGATGTCCCAAGGAGAAGGGCTGGGAGCACAGGTGTGGGTCTGTCACTTTAAAGCACAAAGGAAACCCTAGAAAATGAGACACAGGGATAGAACTCTGTTGCGGAGGAAGATGGCCGAGGGGAGGGGGCTGAAGGGAACCAGATTCACGGCTATTCTAGCAGGAGGTCAAGCAAAAATGCTTACAGTTGCCGTGTCCAGAAATAAGGAAATTAGGGTGAACGCCCTTAGTTAGCAAGATGGACATGGATGCGGCTCACTCCTTCTGTTCAACCAGGTGTCCACACGAAGGTTACCTCGGAGAAGCCTCCCGGACCATGCCACCTCGGGTCACCTCCCTCCGTCACTGTCTGGCTTCCTTACCCGGCCTCAGTCGTCCTCTGAGCCCTTCTCCCAGCAGACATGATGTCATGCCTGTCGCCCTCAGAGAGCCCGAGAGGGCAGGGGTCTCTGTCCCTTTGCATACTGCCGTGGCGGCCCCTGAGAGGTCAAAGGGACTGACTTTGTGAGGAAAGGATGGGGGCGGGGGTGGGGGCAGGGGGAGCTGCTTTTTGGTGACAAGCTCTTCTGCATTATTTATGTGATTTACATGTGCATTCGTTATTTCAATTTTAAAATAAAAACAAATGTGACAAAAGAGCCCACGTCCTCAGATGGTAGCTTGGTCTGCAGGTGGAGAAGCATCAGAGGCGTGGTCCAGAGAAACGAGAGAGGAACTGTGGGGTGGTGGTGGTGGGGGGGGGCGATGGCCATGGAAGGGTTTGCGGAGTCCGAAGGGAAGGATAAATGGGCCACCCAGTGAACACCAGCCCTTACGGAATATCCCCAGGTGCTAGGCATCGTTCTAGGCACCTTGTTATATAATCTTACAATCTTAAAAACCCAATGAGGTAGATCTTGTTATTCCCATTTCCAGGTGAGGAAACTGAGGCTCAGAGAGTTTAAATAATGCCCAAGATCGCACAGCTCAGAAGGGGAAGAGCCTGGATCGAAACCCCGATTGGCCCAGAGTCTGTGTTTTCACCACAGTGTGTGGTTACCTTTTGAAGGACTGATAGCGCTCTGACATCTCTAATCAGCCAGGCACCCTGGACTTTGGACACCTGAATGGGATCCTGGCTCCTTTGCTCGGGATTCCCAGAGTGATTTTGGCTTCTGGTAGGAAAACCCACAAGGGCTCCACTTTGAGGAAGGGGCAGGGACTCTTGGTCTTGGGCAGAAGGGAGCAGACGCAAGGCCCCTGGACTCAGAAGGGGAGGACAGGCTTGACGGAGAGGTAGGCAGCAGGTAGGGGGGAGCCAAGGAGACTTGGGAAGAAGGGAGAGTCATCCTGAGCCCTTATAATCAGCTCCCGGCATCCGCATCAATGGACACATTGTGATTTAAGGAATGTTTTCCGATGCTAGAAGTCACCGAGGATAGCTCCTGATGTTTGCGCCCCAGCTGTGCCTAGAGTAGAGCTGGCCTCAGCCTCCCCAGTAAACTTCCCGTACCCCGCCCCAAAGCCAATTAATGTTGGATTTTGCAGAGTTGCTATTGCAAGTGCACCAAGCACCCTGGTTTTCCAGGTAGGGGCTCTGCTGAGAAGCCCTCGGGAGGCCCAAGGAGGCAGGCAGGACCCCAAAGTGTGCACCCAAGTGAAAACCCAACACAGGTCCCCCCCAGACACTGCCAACACATGTCGGTGCCCTGAGTTTACAGAGATGCCACCCACCCAACAGCACAACAGATGCCTTACCTCCATTATCTCGTTGTTTTTAATGAGCAGTGACTCTGGGCCACCATGGTAGAGATACTGCATGACCAGCTGGAAGAAAGGACACAGAGAGCAGAGCGTCAGTCCGGGGTCAGCACACAGACACAATCCTCTTACAGCCGGGCAGTCTGTGCGTCCCTCTAGAACATCTGCTCTTGCTGGATCGCTGCCTTATGGGAGAAGTTCCACTTAGGACACATTTCCTAGTTGGATAGTTTTCCTTATTGCGTGCTGCCATTTGTCTCCCTGTGGTTCTGCTGGGTTCCAGGTGCACCCCCAGCTCTGCTCTCCATCTAGAGATGGCAATCGGCGCTCTCCCCTCCCACCTCCCACCCCATCCGGCTGCCCCCAAAACACTTGGCTTAAAGAGCCTGCACCAGCGGCTGTTCCCCTCTGGGAGCATGGCCCGGTTTGATTAGACCATTCTTACTTAAATCCAGAGAGAGACTCTGGGCTACCACGGGACTACCTGATCCGGGATGAAGCTGTCAGGGGTCGGGGGTTTCAATGTCTCGTTGATGGTGTGAGCAGTCCGAGCCAGGCTGTGCTCTGTTCATGTGATTCAGGAGGCCTGAATGGTGTGCCAAGTCCCAGAGCTTTGCCAACTGGCGTCCCTTTAGAACGAGGTCCCCGGATGTGCAGAACTGGCCGCCACCACTTCCCATGAAGCTGTTAATTTTTTAGGTGGTGCGTAGGCTTTCCAAGTGGGCATGGTCTTCTCCACCATCGTCCTCTGCCTGCCTTATGACACACGGACTCCCTGTCTCACCCCACGGCAGCTGTGCTGGAAACATCTGTAGACTGGCTACATCCCATCTCTGGGCACTTGTAAAATGAGGCCCTGGGGCTGGGCTGTGCGCTATGGTCCCTGCAGGCTCCAGTGGGTCTGTGGCCACCAGAGGGCAGTGGTGAAGGGCAAGGACCCTGCACTCGGGCTGCCTCAGTTTCCAGTCAGGTTCTGCCACTTAAACACTGGGTGACCTGAATTAGGTTAGGCTCTCTGTGCCTCAGTTTCATCATCTGTAAAGTGGGGCTAACATTACATACCTCATGTGATGAGGATTACATGACATGGAGCAGGGCTAGCAAGGGCCTGGAACGTGGCAAGAACTCAGTAAATGTTGGCTCTTTGATTTTTCTGAGGTGGAAACATCTTTCTCCAGTAGTGCCTCTGCTGTGTTTTCACTCAGGTCATTCGAGGTCCTTTGTGACTGATTTCAATCTACCTTTTGCATGGGTGTTTACAAGTAATAGTTTTCTTAAAAAAATACAGTGTTTACAGCTTTACTGAGCTATATTTCACATAGTGCAAACTGCTTCTGTTTAAAGTGCCCAGGTCAGTGGTTTTAGTGGATTCACGATGTTGTGCGACCGTCCCACTGTCTAATTTTAGAACATTTCCAACACCTCTAGGAGAAACCCTGTGCCCATTACCCACTGTTCCCATTTCCTCCTGGGCCAGTCCTGACACCCACGGTGGATGTGCCCGCTCCAGACATTTCATATGAGGGGAATCCTACAACAGGTGCTCTTTGGTCTGGCTGCGTCCCATTTTCAAGGTTCACCTTCGTTGTCACAGATCTCTCCTTCATTCTTTTTTATTGCTGAACAACGTACCGCATTTTGTGTATCCTTTCATCAGCCTGGGGACATTTGGACTGTTCCCAATTTTTTTGCTGTTCGGAATCCAGCGGCTATGGATCAATGTACTTTTTCCGATCTCATCTGCCGCTCTGCCCTTCTCTCTCCTCCTAATCGCGACGGCATCTACCTTTTATAGTCTGACCACTCCCAACCACTTGCCTTTAACCGAACCTACCACCACTTTCGGTCCCACGCTTTTGCCCAAGCTGCTCCCTCTGCCCGGATTCTCCATCTGTTGAACTCGGCCCCCTCTTTTGGGATCTAGCTCAGTGGTCACATTGCTGAAGTCTTCTCAGATCTGCTAGCTGCAACCCGAGGCTGGGCAGCGCCTCATCCACGACTGCAGTGTGACTTCCCACTAGAGCTCGAGGGCACCGGCGGGGGCCGCCCAGCTCTGCGTTCCCGCGCCTGGCACAGTGCCTGCGCTCAGCAAGCGCACTTTAAACAGAAACACGAGCCCTCTCCTTTCCTTTTGTGTTTGAGCCTCTGTGTGCTGACTGTGGGCTGCCGCAACGACCCGCCTGTCGCCGAGATGGCGGTGTGTTCACAGTAGTGGCCGAGACTTTGTGAAAGGATCACACGGCCTCGGGTCCCCCCCCCGCCATGCTGATGGCTCATGGGCATCTAAAATACCACGTCAGCGAATGGTGGGATCCCGTTCTTACAAACGTCAACGGATTCCCCTGGCGCCTCTCTTTTATAATGGCCAAACCAATAACAACAACAGTAAGACCCGCAACAGCAACTGCCCCGAACACAGGGCCCCTCCGTTTACAAAGCACTGCTCCATTGTGTCATCTCATTTATTCAGGGTCAGGCTGTGGACTGAAAACGCCTCTTCCTTAGCGGATGGAGATCCTGGGGCTAATGGGATTCAAATCGGGCTGGCCCTTTCTGCCTTCGGACTCTGCCAACACAGGCCTTTTCTGCAAGGGGGCAAACGAAGCCTTATGAGGCCAAAGGGCCTGTTTATGGAGTTGTTTCTCTTGGCAGCTGATACCTGCATGAAGCCCTCAGTTCATCGGCATCCACGGCCTCCCGGAGGCCCCAGGTGCGGCCTCGGCTGCATCCAGCGCTCGCCTGCGTGTGACGCTAAACAGTCTTGCGGGGAGGAAACGCAAGGCAGTCTCATTTACTAAAATTCTTCTGTCGGCATGGAAGTGAAGTGAACGGGCCCCTGGGAGCCTCCTTCTGGGTTGGATTCAGCCCTCCTCAGCCTATTTCAAGCCACAAATGAGGCTTTTCTTCTTTTATGGGGAAGGGGCAAGCACACAGAGAATTCCCCGGGGTCTGCTAAATCATCCCTCCTCGTTACAGTAACTTGAGGCTAACGTGGTCAGGAAACCTTTCCCAGTCAAAAGCAATTACAGGCCTCGGAGTCCTCTGGGGCCGAGCTTTCCCACATAGGGCTCTCATTCAATGGATCTGCATGGCAAACACGGATTGAATGCCTACTACAAGGTTCTTATTACAGGAACCTCCCCAATTAGCTCCAGGCTTTATGGCTCAAGTGCCCCCTTCACGGGCACTCAGGAGAGGTGGGGAGGTGTGCATTTTCCAGCACTTAGTTCATGCTCAGACTCTAATGGGCCTACGATTCTTTCCTCAGGGCTGGGTGAGGTTTGGGGAGGGCCCAAGTCCCCACAGTAGGGAGGCAGTTAGGAGATCAGGTCTGGGAGTCAGCCAGGCCTGGCTCCAAACCTCAGTGTGGCTGTGATGAGCAGCCTGAGCTTGGGCCACTTCCTTCCGCTCTCTGGGTCTGTGTCCTGGGGCAGCTGGAAGGATGGAATAAGGTGACATATAGCAGTGGTTCTTAGATCGGGGTCCCTGGACCGGCAGCATCACCTGGGTTCTTGTAAGAAATATAAATTCTTGGGGCCCCAGTCCAGGCCCACAGAATCTGGAACTCTGGGGGCGGGGCCCAGGACTCTGCATTTCAACTTTGGTGTCTTATCAAGCCAACCCCTTCCTCCTCTGCCCTGGAGATTCCGGTACCTGCTCAAGATGGAGAGCCACCGTAGTGTGGAGAATGGTTTCTCCACCTTGGCTGCACTCTGGGACAAGGGGAGGAAGGCAGAAACGTCAACATGCTGATGCCTGGGCCCCAGCCCAGGTTCTGATGGATGGCCTGGGCACGGGAAATTTTTAAAGCCCCCCATGTGACTCCAGTGTCCAGCAGGGGTTTGAGAAGCACTGGCTTTGAGCCTGACATACAGCCAGCGTTCAAGAAATGGGAGCTGATCTTACCACTGTTCCCCTTTAGGAAGGGGATTCCAGAACCAAGTGTCCAGGCTTTGACACCAGATGGACTGGGTTCCAATCCTGGCTCTGTCCCTAAGTAGCACTAAGACTGGGGCAAAGGATTTAAGTTTTCTGAGCCTCAGTTTCTTCATTTCTAAAACTGGCAAGAAAAATCCAGATAGGGGTGCCTGGGTGGCTCAGTCGTTAAGCGTTTGCCTTCGGCTCAGGTCATGATCCCAGGGTCCTGGGATCAAGCCCCGCATCGGGCTCCCTGCTCGGCGGGAAGCCTGCTTCTCCCTCTCC